TTCAGCAAATTTATGAATGTAACTTGTGATGACCTTTGCCAACTCTTGTTCCACAACTTGCTTGCCTTCAAAATGTAGAAAATGAATATCATACGACTAAAATAACTCATAGAATAACCTCCTTATCATGTTAATAACCCTAGTCTCACCCAAAATTACATGTTATAACATTCGAAACTTGTCGACTTTCGACGAAACTTATTTTCTTCAATTGGTTTAGCTTCTAAGATTTCCAACCCTCTTGGTACTCGTTATTCATGATCTTAAATATTTGTAACCTCCAAGGTAACGTGATTAACTTACTTTATTTGCTTCCAAATATAATCTCATTTCCGAGCTTACATCAATGACTTACGACGTACTCTCACGTATGAAAACTTTGGGTGTAACAACCTATACCCATTTTTTAAAAAACTTTTAACTTGTACCCATTTTTTAAACAACTTCAGCTACATTTCTCCTCCCTTTCTCCTCCTTCATTTTCTTTTTTCTTCTTCTACAACGATGACTTCAACATTGCTCTCTTTGATTAATGAAGGTAAAGCAAATATACTGAGGACTTCCATTTGGATTATTATAACATTAAAAACCAATTTCCTCATTGTCTGGAAACACAACTCCGTCATCCATTGCTTGAAATTTACTTGATACCGTGAATGTTTCTACACAAGGAACCTAGCCTTTAACAGTAAGTTTCAAATTCATTCTTTCCCATGCACATGGAGTATGTTCTTCTTTTTCTTTTCTCTTTTGAGTTTCTTTTTTTGAGGCTATGAAATGTAGCTCTTGATATATTTAAAATATGAAAGTTAACAGAGTACACAGTAGATGGAACTGAACGATGGATCCGATTACATAAAATGTAATAATGGTAAACTAAAGTTGGGTGAGTTATCAAAAACTAGAACATCTTGATAGTGGGATTCCCCAGTTACAAAGACAAAAACTTCAGCTCCAGAGCTGAAGTTTTCCAGTTACAACACAAAAACTTCAGCTCTAGAGCTGAACTTCAGGCCCAGCTACTAGAATGCTGAAGTTTTGCGTGATTGCCTTTGCTACTTCAGCCCCGTGTGCTGAAGTTATGCGAAAAAGCGGGTACGCTTGCAATTTTTTTTTTGCAAAGCGGGCACAAGTTAAAATGTGACACAAAAAACGGGTATAGATGCAAATGACCCCGAGAATACTCACTTTCTTTAATGTTAGTACTATTCTACTGCTATAGTAGTAGTTACTCCATAAAGTTCAGAAAATATAAAAATAAAAGGAAGAAAATTATGGTAAATAGTCATCAAATTATTACTAGAAGATATTTCTTTTCTGAAGAAAAATTTCAAGCTTACATTTTCTTTTCTTTTCTAATTTACCACAAAGAAATACATGTTTATAAAAGGAAAAAAACATTATCTACCATGTACACGCTTTGCACCTAGGGAAATGTTAATAGTCTAGGGAGTAATTTAATTAAGAGATTATATCGTCAAAGTTAGTTTATCTCTGCCCATGTCAATCCAGGAATTTTCGTTGGACCAAAAGTGCTTCTTTATCTTTGTCGCAGACATAAAGAACTAACTCGTCATTTTTCTATGAAAAAGAACAATTACAACAAAAGTAGCATCCATTTGTTATTTTGTTAGAGAGAGCTCAAATTAAAGAAAAGGCATGAAATGGAATTAGTTCGCATATTCAAAATAAATTAAAGAAGGTATTTTTACTTTATTAATCAGATTTGATAGGGTAGGTAAATAAATGGTATTCAATAATCTACATTGTACCCTCATATTGTTCCCTTCTTAATTACTTTCACCCTATAGGTTATTGGAAAAATTAACATTTGATTTGTAAATTGATCCTGGTTGCCAACCGTCTGGAATGACATTCGAGGCAGTGACACTCTGCTTTGTTTCTGAAGTAAGTCTAAGGGAAAAAAGAGGTTTCTGTTTGTCTGGTTGTATGCCAACACTCCAAGTTGCCCCATTCATTCGCTGCATTGGTACCCATCTCGAATTGCTTGCTTGGATTTCAACTAAAGAAAGGTCACCATCTCCATTTACTGCTTCAGATGTAACTGCAAAGAAATTAGGATTAGAGCCTTTATCCACCTTAAATATGATATTTGTGTTGTAATTACATGCTACCCTGTAAGGTCCAATAAAAATAAAATAAATTAATACATTAGTGGTGTTCCTCGTAAGGAAAATAAGAAGAAAAAATCAATTTATTGCTTCCTTTATAAAACCTACGAATAAGATGGAACAAATGAAGTAATTTTTAGTTTTTGTAGAACAACTCACCTTTGGTAAAAAATCGAGATTCTTCCTGCATTATATAATTGTGAAGCTTCACCAGACTTCGCCAATTTTTTAAAGGCAATTCCACTTATATCGAAATGAACCGGATCATTATTGCAAGCTCCTGGGCATTCATCTGTAAGGGTTACTGTTATTGGATTCCCGAAAAATATGGATTTTGGTCTTGGGTGCACAACACCTGAAAAACAATGCCGATATTATAGAGATGTAACGCATTTGTGCATGAAACTAAAATATTCATGCACATTCTCTTTTTGTTTCAGAGTTTCATTTCCTTGTCATCTCATGCAAAATAAGACATGTTTATTCTAGAATTATAAATTTATCAAATAAGTAGCGAAATCAGAAATTCTGTGAAGTGGATTCGAAAAGATCTAAAAATATTACATTTAGAATTTGTACCTATATTTTCTCTTATAAGGAGATTTAAATATATATTTTCTTACCGAGTTTACGTTATATAACTTTTTTTTGTTGAATTTCATTCATTTATGTGGCGGATATGTTTACCTGATAGCATGCACCATATCGAGAGCCTTGCTTAAAAAGAGCTTGATTTTCCGTTGTGATCATTGCATTGTAAGGAGCGTTCCATTTTCGAGCCCACATGCTCCACCTAGAGCAGAGTAGAATAATAAGAATAATTTATGTATTTCAATCATTTAGCCCTAGAATTATTAATAAAATATGTAAAATTAGACTATATTGATTAAGCCATTTCGGTGAACATTTGTCTACAACATTTTATTAGTATATTTTTTTTTTGAATTATTAATCCAGCATAAAACTCCCCATATGGTGTTTGGTTAACAGTACTAAATAATATTCATATTGAATTAGGCGGAAATCTAGAATATGAAATAAGAATACATGTATTAATAATAAGATTTAACTATTTAAAAACAATTGTATGTCAAACCTATTTTTCGCGATAATATTGGTTAAATGTACAAAAAAAATAAGGGGTCAAATGTACGAAAAATATATTGATTTAATGGCATTTTGACGAATGTTTGATTCGTGACGCTTCAATACAACTTTTATTCAACTCTTTTTCTTCAAATCCTTTTTATTTGGAACTATAAGAAAGCATCGATATGCTTATAATTCCGAAAATATTTCTTTTCATTTTTTTCCAGGAAGAGTAGAAGAAGGAGAAACGCAAGGAAATACAATTTTTTAAGGTAATCATTTTGCCTATACAATTTTACGACAAAAAAGTTGTAAAAGCATACTTAAAAGTTTAGGTAAAATGAAACAAAAGTAAATTTAGTAGGTAAATTACCAAAGTAAATTTAGTAGGTACATTACCACACTGTAAATATATTGGTGGTTAGGGTCCCATATTGGGGTTTGGATGAGCCATAAATTGACGTTGTAAATCTATAACTAATGTAGATTGGCAAAACGTTCATTCAGAAAGAAAAGAAGACGTTGTAGCTTTAAAATCATTAAACCAACTCGAACAGAAGAGAGATTACTTAAAACAAAGTAGTGGGTCATTATGGTTTGATTCCATTCCTATACAATACACAACTTCTTACATTACATTGGTTCAATTGATTTTCAAAATTTTCCCACAGTTTACAAGTTTTAGTCTTATTTAACTTTGCTGTACAAGATACTTGGAACTCTTCCTTTTTCGTTAATCCTAAATTCCTAATAATGTGGTTCAACGCATTGTTTGTAGTCAATTGTTAACGCTCGAAATGGTCAAAATATGTAGTACATCTATAATTTGTGCTCGTAACTGCCGAAAGAACAACTTTGTGAACTTCATCCAACTACAGTCAGACCTCTCTATAACAATATCCCTATATAACTGTTTAACCAGAAAATAGTAATTTCGATCAAAGCCTATTTTTAGAAGTACTCGGATTACTGATAATCAAGAAAAGGAATATCTTTGCAATAACAAAGGAAAATTAGAGTATGAAATATCAAAGCAATCAATATAAAGCAAAAGTAAATAAGTATATTCCAGTAATAATCAGAACATATCCATACAAATGACATTTCTCTTCCTTATATAGTCATTTCTAAGTACAACGTTTTTTCCTCTTTGTGATCGAGTCATTATGAGCTTTTAATGACATTAATGAAACGTTACAATTGGCAATCGTAACTGTTTCGTGAAGATTCTGTAACGTTTTCAATCATTCATGCTCATTAATTAAAGACCAACAAATCTGTACTTTTTACTGTCTTGATTCATTCGACCGGTGTCTCTTCAAATTACTAAGAGACTCGAGCAACCGTTTATTCTTGTCTTTTAGACGTTTTGCTCGTACCTATTAAGACTCACATCTCTTTAAGTACTCTTCTCCAGCTGTCACTTTTCTAATGATCCACGTGTCTTGCCATGTCAACCACATAATTAATTCCTCGTGTAATATTTATTTTTCCCAATACAGATAGTCCCCCCACTTGCCAATTATTTAGCAATTGAATATTTGGGAAGTGGATCTTTTTTATGGCGAGAATTTTTGTCGTCTTTTCCCACGTATCATTATACCTTCTTCTGAACTGATGCGTCGTATGTCACTTTCATTTAATGCATGTGACACGTGGCAATCATCGATTGGCTCTGCAACTCTACAGCGGGTTTTAGGGCTTTTTTGCGGCTGCTCCAGTCACGAAGTGACAGTTTTCATAATGACGTCTCCATCATTACCTTTTTTTGTATGACGGTTACTTCTGCATATAAATACATCCTTTGCCTTTACTTGCACGAAAAAATTTCTTCAGTGTCCTTTATTCACATCTTGTTCTCGTTCTTCAATACGTTCTACATCTCCATACAACTATGTCTTCATCAAACCCCGATCCTCGAAAAGTTCTCATTGTAGACGAACTCCTTCTTGCTCCTACCAGAAGTAGGAGAGGTGGTAGGTTGCGTAGTTTAGGATCAGTGTTTGTACGGGATTCTTCTTCTCAACCTAGTTCTACTCCTTCATCATCTTCTTGAACTAGGGCTTCTTTTTCACATAGATATTCTGCTAAAAATAGAGACTCTAGTGAACCAATTCGTGAACCTTTGGTTGATGAGATCATCCCTGCTGAAATTTCCATCTATTCTGATAGAGAATCGATTAGAAATCAAGTTACTTCTATGACTTCTCATGATCGTGCTGATGTTTACCCCTCCCAAATTACTGAAGGTTTGATTTATGTTGTACGTAGATACTGTCATTGGAAATTTGATTTCCCAATGAAAACCAAAGGATCACTTCTTTTAAAGCTTACATATCTCTTTATATTAGGTTTTAGGCCTCCTATTGACTCAGTCATTCTTGAGTCTTGTCATTTCTTTTATGTGTGTTTAGGACAGATTGACCCTATTGTATAGAGGGTTGTGGCATGCGTTAGGTATTTGGCAAACCTAGCTCAGTTACCCTTCACCTTTTATCATCTAATCCATATCTACTCTCCTAAATTATTCTGTCATGGGATTTTCACTCTCGTGGCAAGAAGTAAGAGAGTTTCAGTCAGCCCTGAGGATGATAAAGATCGTGGCTGGTATGCCCGGTTCATTGCTACCCCCACAAGTGGGTTAGTAGGTGAAGAGAACATGCCCTTCCGTGAGAAGTGGAACTTTGCACGTAAGTTTTTCTTTCAATCTTTTTTTTCCTCTTTTTTATGTAGAGTTTGTACTTCTCGTAACTGTTTTACTTTTCCCTTTCATCAACCATGGGAACTGTTGAGGAGATTTCTAGTTTTCGTGGTTGGGTAGAAAATTGTTAACAATTGTTCCTATGGAAGTAAGGCCTTGGAAGTATCTTTCAAATAGATTTGGATGGAAAGTTAAGACTCACGGTAACTTTCTTTTTCACTTTCTCCTTTACCTTCGTTCTTATCTTGGAAATTATTAACCTTTCTCTTTATTAGGGTTTCCTATTCGGGTGTGAGTGCTGAATCAATTGCTTCCTTTAGGCTTTCTTTAGCAAAAGCTCAGGAAATAATTTTGAGTTCCTCATCAAAAAGAAAAGCTAATAGGCCACAAGATTCTGAAGATGAAGAGGAGAGGGATGAAGGCTCATTGATTCGTAGGCCTCGAGCCAGAAGATGGGTCATTTCTGATGACGAAACTATTCCTCTTCCTCGTCATGTTTATGTGTTTAAGCCTGAGAATGCTACTTTAGTGAGTTCTGATGAAGAAACGCCTACAGCACCCCGTGACTCTACTGAACACCTCTTTTCTCGTGGATTTGATGATGAAAACTTTGGCTTAATTTCTGAGGAAGTGCCTCTTGTCTCTTTTCCTATGTCTGCTCCAATGGAACCTTAGTTGCATGTTCCTACTGTTGCCGCTACTGCTCTGCCCGTGGCTATTTTGACTTCTTCGACCGTTCCTGCTGCCACAACTTCTCGGGCTGAAATTGGCTCATCTAGTGGAAGTAGGACAATGAAACAAGTTATCATTAAGGTTCCCACTGATGGTAACCTTTTGAAGAAATCAGGCTGACGTGTGGTTGAAACCATTTATAGGCCCAGTTGAGAAGTCTAAACTGGAAAGTCATAGCTCTCTAACTTGGATGAATGATATTGTGTATTCATCTTTGAAGGTATAAACCTCGCCTTTTTATTTCGTGTGATTTTTCTTTTATTAGTATCACATTTCCTTTTCTCACTATGTAGATCAATCTCATCGATACGGAGATGATGAAAAGGATTGTCCATACAGAGCAGCTAATGCATGACTTCTGAGGCAGATAATCGAAAAGAGGAATACGAGAGTCTTCAACTTGAGATGGAGGTTTTAGAGGAAAACAAGTGTACCTTGGAGAAACAAGTAAAAGTTTTGGCAGTAGAACTAGCGGTTGAGAGAGCCTCTTCTAATCAGGCGGGCAAAGACAAGAACCTTCTTGAGTCTTCATTTGCTGAACAACTTTCTAAAGCTACTAAAGAAATCAGAGGTCTGAAACACCTATTGAATCAGAAAGAAGTTTATGCTGGTGAGCTTGTTCAAACGCTCACCCAGGCTCAAGAGGATCTCCGAATGTCATCTGATAGAGTTCAATTTTTGGAGAATTCACTTACCCCCCTGCAGGCTTCGTATGATGCTATCTTAACTAAGAAGGAAAAACTTAGGAATGAGATTGAGCATTGGGAAAGAGACTATGAGGCCCTTGAGGACAAGACTGTCGTTGAAGTAAGTTGGGCTTTTTTGAATGCACGCCACAATACTTTAATGGAAGCAAGCCAGGAAGGCTTTGACTTAGCTGTTGAGATTGCAAAGATCAAGGAGACCATTTAGAAAACCCAACAAAGTCAAAGCTTTTCTTTACCCGTGGCTAACATTCTCGAGGGTGACGAAATTACTCCTAGTGAGGCTGCTATTCAATCTCCTTCCGCTCAAGTTACTCTTCCTGCTTTTGATGATATTGTTCTTCATCCTCCTAGTTCAGATTTTGCCCCTTAGTGAAAGTTTAAGAAAATGTGAAGTATTGTTTTGTTGTTTTTTTTATTGGTAGAACACTTGGAAGTTTACCCCTGGTCCCATTTAGGGTGATGTTTTGGAAGATCTTGCCCCTAGTTTGTTTCGAGGCTTTTTTGTAAAGACAATTAGGTAGAAATTAAGTTCATACTTAGTTTTAACCAAGTTATTATGATATTATAAAAAAATTTGTCCAACCTTATGACATCTTTATTTTGATTTTCCATTTTACTCACTTAGTGGTTTACCCTTGCCTTTTTCTTTATAAGTTTGGGGCTTTATTTTCCACTTAACTTTAATGTTTGGGTTTTTGTTTTACCCTTTGCTTTTGAATTTCAAAAATTCTTTGTTACTTTCATGACTTTTTGAACAAGCACGAATTATAAAAGAGGGCCCTTTTATATACGAAACTTAATGAAGAAGACGCCTCAACTTCATAATGGTGTAAATATACGAAAGAAGAAATAGAAACACATATGTTTCTTTGAAAAACTTTGAAGAAAGTTTTGTCTCATTTGAAATTTCAATAATATTTTACATGTATTTAAGTATCATCTATGACTTTTTCGTAACTGTCTTCTTTATAACAGATTTGCAAAAAAATCGAGGGTATCTTAGCAACACATGACTAAATATTGCCTTTGACCTATACATTTGTAAGATTTTGAAATTTACATCCACGAGTGTATTCTTCATAGGTTCGAATCAGGCTTGCGTTTTTTACTGCTCGTAGCTTTGGTCTAAACTTTCAATTTGTTGGGTAGACTTTAAGCGTGATTTGAATTCGTTTTTCCAGTCTTCTTTGCCTTTCTTATATATATAGTCCGCCAAGTGTTTGAGCTTTGAAGCATGAAATCTCGATCACTTTGATTATTCCTTTCATATAGTCCTTTTCCTGAAAAAGGAAAAACGTACAGGACTCGAAAGAAAATATAATTTTGATGATGATTTCTTAAGCCTCTATATTTCCATCAAAAAAGTTGTAACCTTAGACTGGGAATTATGTTACTTCCGCGTGTCTTTCAGGTCTAATATCACCATTTGGTGCGTGCTAGCTTTTTGTCTATCATCTAAAATTGTTAGTATAATTTTAGTTGTACAAAATAAAAATCATAATTGAAGGATACCTGACCACGGGTATTCCCTTTCCTTAGAAATAGTACTTCTTCAAATGAACAGCATTCCAACTCGAGGGTAGAACCTTGCCATCCATGGTTTCTAATTCATATGCACCTTTTCCGGTGATGCCTCGAGCCTTGTAAGGTCCTTCCCAATTTGGACTCAACTTTCCTGCATTGGCTGCTCTTGTGGATTGGAAACTTTCTTGAGTACGTCGTCCCCAATCTTGAAGTACCTAAGGTGAGCATTCCGATTGTAATATCGCTCAATAATCTGCTTCTGTGCAGCCATTCTTATCAAGGTTGTTTCTCTCCTTTCTTCAAGCAAGTCGAGATTATTCGCATCTCTTCCTCATTCAACTCTTCGGTTGCTTAGATGTATCCCGTACTTGGCTCTCCTATCTCAACTGGAATTAAGGCTTCAGCTCCGTACATAAGTAAAAATGGTGTCTCTCCCGTACTTGTTTATGTTGTAGTTTTGTATGCCCACAGGACTCCAGGTAACACTTCTGGCCACTTACCTTTTGACTCCTCTAGTCTTTTCTTCAAATTATTAATAATAACTTTATTTGCTGATTCAGCTTGTCCATTGATCACAGGATGATAAGGTGTTAAAGTAATCCTTTTAATTTGCCAACTTTGAAAGAATTCTGTAATTTGCACGCCTATGAACTGCGGGCCATTATCGCACACGATTTTTTTTGGAACTCCAAACCGACATATGATGTTTCGCCAAATGAAGTCTCTGACCTCTTTTTCTCGTACTTGTTTGAAGGCACCTGCTTCTATCCACTTAGTAAAATAATCAGTGGGTACTAATAAAAATCGTACCTTTCCTTTGGCTTGTGGTAGTGAGCCTACGATATCAAAAATCGTACCTTTCCTTTGGCTTGTGGTAGTGGACCCACGATATCCATCACCCACTTCATAAAAGTCCATGGTGCAACAACCGGATGTAATAACTTTGTTGGTCGATGCACGTTATTGCCATATCTTTGGCACTTGTCACATTTGGCCACAAAATTTTCTGCCTCTTCGTCCATTTTTGGCCAGTAATACCCTGCTCTAATTAAATGTTTTTACTGAGGATCTTCCTCCGGCGTGATTTTCACAATGTCTTTCATGTACTTCTCTCATCACATACTCTGTTTGAGAAGGTCTGAGATACCTTGCTAGAGGACCACCAAACATTTTTCGAAATATATTGCCTCGATCCAAGCAATAATGAGCAGTCTTTCGTCGAAGTGCCTGAGCCTTTTTCTTATCTTCAGGTAGTATTCTGTACTGCAAAAAATTGACGATCTCGTTTCTCCAATCCCAAGTTAAATTATTGAAATTTACCTCGTTTTTATCATGGTCAAATGTCGAATGAAACAAATGTATTACAGAAGTATTCTCTTTATTTGTCACTTCTGCAGCGGATGCAAGATTAGCTAACGCGTCTGCTTCAACATTCTCGTCTCTCAGTATCTGCACGATTTTCCAAGTTTGGAATTGTCTAATCAAATCTCGTGCTT